CAAGGTGTTCTTCACTGATGTGTATTGTGGATACACACCCAAAAGCCTGCCAGGAATCAGTACACATTCCCTTGATCTATTCATTAAAATAAAGCTGAAACTGAGGAATAAAGTCATTGATTTTTCAAGTAGTCATATAAAGATTACTTCGGGTAGCCATGCCTTTAATCGTAGATATTGTAGAAAAGAGAAGGTGAACGTATCCCGTGCATTAAGGAGTGACGAGTTGAAAAGTGTGAGACTGACCAGCAAAAAAACTCACATGATTCCCTTGACTAAAACAAACTAAGCTTTTCACTGGTATGTACATTACGGATTTCTGCAGTCTAATAGCCTAGCCACATGGACTCCGATCCACCTATTGAATGATGGATGAAGGGAAATTCTGGGATTCCCCATTCAGGGTCCACTTTCGAAAGTTTACCTCATTATTTAGGGTTCATATGACTGAAAATTGTGCCAAAAGAGACCGACCACATTGTACTGCGGGTAGTCATTCACTTCCTCTATGTCTAATGTAAGGCATCTCCCGCCTTTTTGGGGAGTTGAGACCAGTCGCTCACAAGTCATCAACGTTAATCTAAGTTTAGCGGAAAGCAATTTGTGCTTTGGTAACTTTTCTCTTGGGTTGAGTTGTTTGGCAGGGAAATTTCATATTGCGAACGCAATGGCAACTGGTTTGTTTGTCCATTCCAGATCGTGTGCATATTTCGAGAAATACAGAATGCTAATTCAAAATTCACATTCGCAAAGACCAGAATTATGAGCTTTTTTTCACTGGTGCCCTTGTCGGTATCATTGTTGCTCTGAAGAAAACAGCAACTTTCTAGCTGACTTTCCCGCGTCCTCTCTCCTGGTCAAGATGGCGATACTCTAAGGTCGCTTGATTTGGTTCAGTCATTCCACCGCAAAGAAGCATTTTGGTTTATGAAATAAAATTACCCTGATTTGTGATTACAAAACGTCCTATAATGTGTCTTCTAAAGTTCAATTGTAAAGAACGGTTGGTTGGTGTCCACACGTGCCTCAAGGTGATTCGTGCAATCGATCAGCGCTTTCACATGGCGTCAAAATTACCTACACGAAAAATCAAGGCCTTCATGTTACAATATGTCACTGTGATGGTAATTCGAATAAGCTTTTTGATCGGATCATTTCGTTTTCCTTTTTTCCCTCTGGTCCTTCTATTAAAAGACACTAGTCTCAAACGGGGCAAACTATATACAGTTCGAACGTAAGCCTGGTGCTGACCGTGAGCGCGTTTGAACAAGTATACAGCCGTACGGTCGATATTACTCGATTCAGATACGTTTGAACTACATATCTTTGTCTTACACTTTTGTTTCTTTGAGAAAGCTTTGTAGATACGTCAATGCCTTTTGTCCTATTGAGTTCTGCATACTGGAGGTTCTGAAATGATCGCATCGTTCGATCTTTTCCACAGGTAGTCAGTGCCGAGGGTGATGTCCGCGGCATGTGTATAACACAAGACTGGGCTCTGAATCCACTTCAACTGAATGCGGTACATCGTGGTTGGCGAAAGCAAACATTCAGTGCTCGACTTGAGGACGAGGATGATCTGATTCGTCGTGTCCGATCGATTGAGGATGGTGATCAAAACCACCGCATCGAAAACAGTTTGAGTTGGAAAATTCCTCATCCACGCGCGCCACTCGTTCCATCATTTCCGGCGCCAAAAAACAGCAGCAGAAGAATATCAAGTGTGAACAAGAAACCGTCAACCTTGGAACGTGAATGAGTGCGATTGTTTTGATGAATTGAAACATGAAACCTAAAACTTACACGTCACTCCGAGTTAATCTACTAATCGGAAAACCGGTAGTGTAGTTGAACACACATTCAAAGCAGGCCTTCGAAATCAGACGCGAGACTGAACCGTGTTTAAGTCGCAATCGATCTCATATCATGTTCCATGTTTGTTTGAGAGGACACAGAATTTTGCGTAGAACAGACAGATTTGTGGCTGAGAATTCCACTAGCAATCCGCGAAGATAGGCTGGTGCAAGATAAGTCAAGTATAGGGTTCTAAATCCTTATTTTATCAGTTATGTTGAATTTACTGTTTGAAAGCTCCATTTCATTTGTTCGCATCAGCCAGAAAGTACTGCGATCTCCGTTCTACCCTCCGTTATGCTGGAAAAACAGGGTGATGCCCTTTACTGTATATTCGGCGGAGTAACCAAGAGGTTATTTTATCTCATGCCCCCGACCTCCAACTACCCCATCATAGACAGAAAGACTACCGTGTTTGCATTTCGACGTGCAAAGATTCTGATTGCTAGCTGGTGTTCTTTCCACTGAGTTCAGCGGCCAACTTCTCTTTACGCGGTTCATGAGCTGTATGTTTCAGATATAGTTCATCTTGTCACTTCTGTGTTGGCTAACTAGCTGCTATTTGATAGTAATACGTCGGCTAATGC